GACAATTGACCCAGTCGACCACCTTAACAGCTTCCAAGCCCTAATGCAACTACACAAGGAAAACGACACGAGCCTTTGCAAGGCCTTCCTGACCACTTTCTAGGACACTACTTATATGTGGTATTTGGGGTTGGTTGTAGGCTCCATAAAGAGTTGGAACCAGTTCGCCGACCTGTTCATTACCCAATTTTCCACAAGCAAGCGATGCTCGAAATCTGTGACCTGCCTGATCAACGTTGTCTAACGATCCGATGAGAAGCTGTAGGATTACATCAAACGGTTCAACCTGGAGTGACTTCTAATTCCCAACCTTGACCCAACTATCTAGCTCACAATAGCGTTCAATGGTGTTCGACACCCTGACTTGCGTTGGGAGTTTGAGTTGAAACCTTTGGCCTCCATGGAGGAGTTCCTCAACCAAGCGGCCAAGTTTACAAAGGTCGAAGAAGTGCTCGAATCCCGGTTGGAGCTGAGCAGCAAGTAGAAAAAGTCAAAAGATGAGATTGCCAATAGAAAATAGTGGCACAAGAGTGCAACGACTTGTCTACTATGTGAGTAAAGTCTTACACGCCGTGGAGACTAGGTATCCAAGCTTCGAGAAGCTGGCCTTCTCCTTGGTGCTAGTAGCCCGTAAGTTGTGTCCTTACTTTCAGGCCCACACCATCATAGTCTTAACCGATTGACCCCTTAAGCAAGTCTTCTAGAAGCCTGAGGTTTCAAGTAGGTTGACAAAGTGGGCAATCAAGCTTAGTGCGTACAATATCTAATTCGGGTTGTGCCTAGCGATCAAGGCGTAGGTCCTGGTTGACTTCATTGTCGAGTGTATGTTCAGCACGCCAACCCTTAGAGTTGTCAAGCTCGTGACCACCTTGGAGGCGCCAACCAATGTGGCACCCGTCCCGACTTGGGACGAGGAACCCTGAATCCTCTATGTGGACAACTTGTCCAACTAGCGCGGAGCGGAGTCGGGCTAATCCTCTATGGACCTAGAGAGGTGAAGCTAGAGTATGCCCTCCGGTTTTCATTTCGAGCATCGAACAATGAAGTTGAATATGAGGTGCTGATAGCCGGGCTATCGTTGGTGAAGGAGGTTAGTGTGAAACATCTTGTGGTGTCTAGCGACTCATAGTTAGTGGTGAACCAAGTGAATGTGGAGTATGAGGCCCGGGATCCCGCCATGTTGGCCTACCTGGCCAAGGTTAGAGAGCTCCTGCCTAACTTCCACTCTTAGTACATTTAACAAGTGTTGAGGTCCAAGAACACCAAGGTTGATGCACTTCCGAAGCTAGCTGGTGCGATGGATACTACGAAGAGAACAATTTATATTGAAGACCTACCACACCCTAGCATAGAAAGGGTGGCAGAAGAGGTCACTCTTATATTGGCTACAGAACTGATATGGATGGATCCATTCGTTGACTATCTGCACCACGGGACCCTACATGCAGAGCGTAATGCAGCTTGGAGGGTGGAGCGACAGTCAGGTTGCTATGTAGTAGTTATAGGCAAGCAACTATATAGCAGGTCATTCACACTCTCCTACTTGCGCTGCTTACACCCAACTAAAGCAAGGTAGGTGCTACACGAGATCCATGAAGGTCTCTGCAGAGGACACCTGAGGATAGGTGCTACTTGTGCTGCTTACACCCAATTCAAAGATATTAAGCTCCAAAACTGGTGTGCTGAGATGGGAATCCAACAAAACTTTACCTCGGTGGCCCATCCCCAAGCAAATGGTTAGGCCAAAGTGACGAATAGGGCGATACTCCCCGGACTCATAGCTCAGCTCTCTTGAGCTAAAGGTTTGTGGGTGGATGAGCTGCCCAGTGTCCTATGGGCCTACCAAACTACTATCAAGACAGCTACCGGGGAGATTCCTTTCAACCTAACGTACAGGACGGAGGATGTCATTCCAATTGAGATTGAGATGTCGACCTTGCGGTTTGAAACAAATGATGAGGAGGCTAACAAGGATGAACTGCGGACTAACTTCGACCTAGTAGAAGAAGTTTATAACATGACCTGTATTTGGACCATAGCATACCAACAGTAAGTAGCTCGAAATTATAATGCCCGAGTTAAGAGATGCCAATTTTGAGTTGGTGACCTAGTACTCAAGAAGGTTATGATACCTGAGCCCGACATAGGAAAGATAGGTCCGAATTGGGAAGGCCCCTACAGAGTTCTCAAGGTGATCGGTGAGGGTACGTACGAGCTCAAAATGTTGGAGGGGAGGTAGGTACTCCATGCGTGGAATGCTGACAACTTAAGGAGGTATTACTTATGAAGAGTTCAGAAGTTTCAAGTTGTGTCCGCTAAGACTACAAAATTTCACTGTGTGTGAAAATGAGACCACTCGCCCTGGCGACCTGGTTTAGCTGATCTATGCTATCGACATTTCGGCTAAGTTGTACACAAGGGGAAGCCAAACCACTTTTAGCTTTAAGGCCCCCTACGCCAACCTCAAGACACGTTGACAGTTTGATACCTCAAAATCATTTTGAATTAGCTAAAAATACGAGTCTAGTCACTTTGGCACCTAGGCAACTTGTGCACCTCGTCACCTCGACAACGCCGAATGTTTTTCGACACTTAGCCTATTTTCTAGTAATTGAAAATACAAGGCGAGAAGGAGGGGCACAATATATGCAAAAAGTCGATTTCATTAGAAGGAAATAGTACATCTCAAAAAAAAAATTAAGAAAGCTGAGCTCAGAGGCTTGGCATACAGTATATATACTTCGGGGATCCAAGAAAAGAGGCAAAGAAGTCACACATTCTGGGGCTCGTCTACCCCCACATCTTCCACACTGGCATTAACTCCACCATCCACGTTGCCTCCAACCACGTCGACCTAGTCCTCCTCTTCCTCCTCGGAGTTAGGTTCTTGATTGACCTAACCCATCATCTCGTCGGTGCACACCGAGGACTTTAACTTATTGAGGTCGAACTCTGGGCACACCTAGGCTACTAGCATCCGACACAGCTTGAATCCCTAACTAAAGGCGTTGGATCCGAACTAGTCTGGTGCTTTAACCCTACGTGAAGACGAGGCGCTCTTATGAGAACCACGTCAGTCTTGAGCCAAGGTCCCTTCCTCAACTCGGTAGGGTGGACCCCCTCTTCCCCAGACTCACTACTAGACATTGTGAATGAAATGGAGTTAATGGAAATGACTCACCTAAGATGAATAGACTAACTTTGCCGACAACACTAAGCACTCCGATAATGCCGAACTCCGCGATCTCACCAAGAACTCCAAAGACAGTGATGAGAAAAATGGGCCCCCAAGGGTCCTATTTATAGACAGATGGATCGAACTATGGACGGTTGAATCCAACGGTTCGCAAGTGTGCGACGGTTTGTATTCCAAGGTGAAATCAGTTTAGCGCGTTTTTACATCTGCGCAACCTAATAGTTGTGTGGCATTCGCGCGTTCCTGGTATACTACCTTGTGCCTAGGTTGGACCGACTGAACCAACCTGATCCTGAACCATTGATTGGGCCACAAATGAGGATGGAGAACAAACAAAATCACCTCAAGTAATAACTACTCCCTCGCCAGACTGACCACCCCGCACTTAGGTGGGGGACAATTGATGAGGGGTAATTTGGTCCTCCAATGACATCATGACACATGGCATCGCGGAACAGCTGGGTGACACCTCGACACCACCTAAGCAGACAACTTCAGGTACTTTACAACTACCTCAAGGACCACTATACCACCTTGGTAGACCAAACTATGAACAACTAGGCAGGACCTCAGGTCGATGTAAGAGGCGACTTACTTCCACCGAACTGCCCTGGCCCTGGCAAGACATCAGGTCGGCATGAGAGCTGACCTCTGCTAACCCAACCTGAGTTCAGCTAGGGACTTGCTGAGTGACCTCCTCCTTAAGTGGGTTATCATCTTCGACTTCCCTGGGATCATGATGCTACGTTGGAAGAACCGGTTATCACCCCGCTCACTTCGGGCGCAACTGGATAAGCATTACCTACTTACGCAAAGTCCACCTCCAGGAGTGAAACCACCTCTAAACCAAACGGGCTGGAGATCCTGGACGTGTTTCATGAGGTTCACAGCAGCCCGCCTATATTAGGGCCTCACCTCCAACCTCAGAAGGTATGTGCAATTTAGCTCTCAAGTACTCTAGCTCTCTTGCATTTTTGCAATCACATCTCAAGTTCGTTAACTTAAGCATCGGAGTGCCCACCCCGGGTAAAGCAACCCAGACACTCTAATATCTCTCTCTTGTAGCTCTACTAGGCGGCCTACTCAGTCCGACATTCAAGCTATCTGCCAGTAGGGAGCACCAAATTGCGCACCAACAATACGCATATGAGATAAAATTGCCCATTTTAATAATGACTTTTTATGGCTAAAAAGGTCAATGTCTTATTTACTATGAAAATAAAAGAACATGGATAAATGCACTTACTTGAGTAAATAACTTCCTGAAAAGCTCATTATCATTATGATCATCCATGCCTTATCCCAACTATATGGGGTCTACTACATAATCCTGTTTCGCCAATATATTCTATTTAAAACCATATCACTGTTAAATTATTAGTACTTAAATCATTTCTTAGGCAGGACCGTCAAGGATATTTTTATGGCAAAAGAACAAAATTAAGCACCCCATAATAAAAAGCCCATTTATGTTATGTCCTTTTAAGTCACTGAAAATTAAAACTTCTCCAAAGGAAAGAAAAATCTTCCTCCTCATAGTGGATAAAGGTGACATCTCTCATGTATGAAAAAACTTAAAATTTTCAGGGCAACACGGGTGACTGGTTTTAATATCTCAGTACTGCTCAAGGGAACGAAACTGACTATATACCAAAGCTACAAAGAGCTCTCTCTCTCTCTCAGCAGAGAAGCACAAAAAGATATATTAAAGATGGAAACCACCACCTACTCACTCAGGTTTTGTCCCATTCACTAATTATATATGTTACCGCCTCACTTTCATCTATTTATATGGTACCTTAACTTCTTCCATCCACTCCATCAGTTCTTTGGTTTGCTTTCAATGGCGCTTTCTTGGGGCTTTTTTGCACTGGTCTTAATATTTGCTCTCTCTGGTGTTGAGCCTTCAGCATGCCATCAAGTGAAGGGCTCGGTCTCTTGTCTCGATTGCACTCACCATGAAAGCCTCTCCGGTTTGTTCAGATATTCTTTCTTTTTCTCGAATTCTTGGGTATGTGGTACCTCACAAACTCCAAAATTCTGATAAATTTTCTCTCTTCTTTTCTTGTTTCAGGCCTCAAGGTGGTAGTGAAGTGTGATAAAGTGAAAAAACTGTCAATGGCAACAACAGACAACACTGGCTCCTTCGAGACAGAGCTTCCAACTGACTCTTCAGTGCCTTCTTCCAACTGCCTTGCCAAGCTCCTGGGTGGCCCAAGACAGCTCTGCTCCTACAAGAAAAACCTGGTCTCTAAGATAGTGAAGGCCCATGAGACTGATGCCTATACCATCTCTACTCCTCTCAACTTCTACACTTCATGCTCTCAAGAGTCCAAGAACCCATCATCACCATCTTCTTCATCTTCAACTCAAACACCAGAGATAGGGTCCTCAAAGACTATTAATATACCCCTACCACCAGAGTGGGGCCTTGCACCATCTAGTTATTATTTTCCTTTCTTACCCATCATAGGGATACCTTAACTATTATCTATTCCTGTATGTCTCTAAGTATGTAAGGAGAAGAAACCTAAATAAAAGTTAGTATATTTGTGCTGTGTGTTGTATGTGGAGATTTTGATAACTAAACTTTTAGTAGTTCTTTCCCTTGTATTAGTGTCATATGAAGCACTTGTGATAAGAAATTTCTTTCTACTATTAGAAATTACGAGTAATTTTCAGCTGTTTCCTTCCATTTCCATTTCTGAATAAGACTGTGCTGCTTTTCTCAAATTGTAGTTCTGGTTTGCAAGTGTGTTAGTTGGTAGCAGGTCTCAGTTTTGTAAGAAACCCAGAAGGTTGGGATCTTCAATATTGGCTAAATCAACATAAAAAATTTTCAGTACATGTATTACAAACAAATGGTATATGTCTTTAAGCTGTATATTAACACCACCATATGATATTATCAAGTTTAATTTTCATGGTACGATCATATCAGCACTCTACTGCAGTACTGGATCCAATAATCAAGCTTGCTGCATCTAATGGGCCTCTTCCATGAAAAATAATGGAGAAGAGATAAAGGTAAAGTAGGGTAGGAGAAGAATTCCTATCTTCAGTTTAGGGCTCAAGAACCCTAAGAATTTTCTTACCCAAAAAGTAGACACTGAGAATTTTGCATTTACTGTATATTCAGAGAAGGAAGGTCCATCATTTACTGAGTCCAACCAAATATATAGAGGGTCATATGCCAGAGGGAGTCTATCTGCATATTCTGCTGCTACCACAGTCGTTACAGCAAAATCTCAGGTGTTTCCACTAACACAACACAAACACAAACAGGCTAGGGTCTAACAAAAAAACAGATTACAATAGGAGATGAGTAATATACTTTTATTAAGGGTGTTTTTGTCTTTCCACATAGAGGTTGGAATTAAACCACCTACTGACATGTGAAAGGAGTGGTGAGAGTACTGGACCACTGGTCCAACCATACGGCTTCACGAACAAATGGGTGCATCCATCACCTTAAACCATGTACAAAACGTGGGGCCCGGGTGTCCTGGTGAGAAAAGATTTACGGAGACAGTGGTCGCATGTGACCCTAATAAAATGTTAAACCGGTATTTTGAACCAACACCAGTTGATGTGAATATGTTATGTATTAATTTTTCTGTCATTCACATTCTATTGAGGGTCTCAAGATTGTTCTACAACCAGTTGTAATAGGAAATGCAATCACGGTTTCATTCCTGGTGGACAATGATGACAATGGTCAATGGTCCTATGATAATAAATCTATATCCCCCAAATTCCTCTAGAAATTACTATCCCTAGTCTTTTTAAGAGTTACTAGTTGGGATTCGGGAATCGGGACCTATGTATTGCATAGGAAATAATTATAAAATTAATAAACTTTTAAGAAGTTTAATTTCATTAATTTTTATTAATAATAATTTTAAAAATTTATTAATATAATTAGTTTTACATGGAATTTAAAAGTGTTTTCAATTAAAGTTGTTATTAGTAATAACAGTTAATAATTATTATAATATTACATAACTAATTATAATTATTATAAGAGTTTATATTTATTTTTTATAATTTTATTATTATTACATATCTTATTTATACTTTAACTTGAATATTAATATTTTTAATACATCTAATTCATTTTTTTTATTTTAATTAATTTACTAATATTAAATTAAACTAAAAATATAAGATTCAACTACATATCTTGAAATTTTACATAGTCTGGGCTTGGAACTTTTTTGTCCCAAATTAATACAGGTGGACTTCAACACAAACACACGTACACCCCTTTTACTCTCTCTGTATACAACTTGAACTGGATCGGAATCAGACTAAGCTAAATCCATTAGGAGCTAGGGCTGGCCCAAAGTAGCAGGATAGGCTTTAAAGCCCAGTAGTGGGAGGTGGGTCTCACATAGACAAAGACAACCCATAAACTAGCACGGAAAGCTCAAATATATTGTCATTCAGCCAAACAATTGGATTTTTGGTAAAGCTTGTTTTAGTATCTTCTTGAAAGCAGCTTAATCAAAGCTCCAGTCCTCCTAAATGGGTCCATGTTGTACTATGCCAAGAATAATTGAATTACAGTCATATTTTTTAGTACTTGTGTTCTAGAGGTTACACAGTGAGGGTAGCCTATTCCCAAGGTGAACCTACATTAAAGTGGTCTTGTTGCATTTCATTATGTGTCTCTTCAATGCAGACCTATCTGTGATGTCTGTTGCCCATTGTTTCCTTTACTGTCTGACATGGTTGGGTTCTGATTTTGCCACATAAGCTTGTATAAGTAGGTTGGGCTGCAAACAAAAGGGAGAGAGTGAGAAGATGATGGGGATTGGTTTATTGGATGTTTGTATTTTGATTTTGTTTTCTGTTTTCATTTTTGAAGAAGAAGAAGAATTGATACGTGGTACTTTGGGGATTAACAGAGAAGTTAAAAAAGAAAAAGGTTCCAAAACAGAGAACCTATTTGGTCCATTGGAGCAGAGAAATTGTTTGTTAATGAATTGTTAAGCTTGAACAGAGAAACTGATAATCAAGAGTTTTTCACTTATTTTGCCACCGACAAACATAACAAAGTGAACTTCAAGTCTCAACTTTCCAATCTGAACCTAGTTTGCATTGTAATTTGATGCACTTGTATTAGGTTCGGGTTTCGGCCAGGCTCAGATTAGGACAAGGTTGGACTGAATTTGGACTACGTAAAGACTAAACCCAGACCCAGTCCAGAAAATACAGGAGCCCAAAATCTAAAAACAAAAATCCAAGCTCAATTTGTATAAAATTTCGAACTAAGTTCAGACTCGGATTAGCTCCGCCCAAATTACACCCACCGGAGATGCAACCAACTGAGCCACCATCAGTTGGTTAACGAGAGCATAGTTTGGGGGCCTCATAATTTGAATTATGGCCCACAACTACATGGGTCCCGTGTTTAAAGACTCAGGTCATTAGCCCAAAACTCAAGCTATTCTCTAAAATGATGTCAATTGTAAACTGTTATAGGTCCTCTGAAAATCTTTGCCCTAATTTTACGTGGAATATTGTTAGCAAACATCATCCAAGGCCAAGGCGTATCAACGCCATGCCTGGGCTGGGACCCATGAAGTGGGGCCATATTTTGGGCTTGAGTCTTGAGAAGCAAATTTTGAGTCTGAAAACAATTACTTCGTGCATAAAACGCCAAATACTAGGTCTCTATCTTATTCTAATCTCTCTCTCTCCCAGAACCCTGCGTAGGTAGGACCCATTTGGATGATGGGCCCCTTTATCTGAGGTCTGGGGCCAATCATATCTATAAGATTTGTCTATTTTCGTCAATCTATTAGTATTTATTTTATTTTAAGCATATTCTATCTCTATCTACTGGACATAAAGAAACAAACAGAAGGAACCCTTGGTGGGCTCACGGGTCAATGACTCAAATGTCAACCCGATTACTAATCGGATCGAGACCAAGCATTGGACCGATTACAAAAATTCATGGTAAATGGAATATCTATTAACATAATGAGAATAAAAATACCATGGGTCCATTTGGTTCATGAGAATAGGGGTCTGGAATTGAAGTTAAATTTCAATTCTCCATTTGATTGGACAGAATAAAGAATCTGTTTTTCATTTCTGGTGGAGTGTCATTCTCCCAGCCATTTGAGGGAATGACCATTACTTTCCCTCCTTTGGAAATCAGAACTTCATCCTAGCCAATTTAGATTCTGATTCCGATTTCTATTCGAACTAAGCAGGCAGGAGAATAGACCATTCTTATTTCAATTTCAACGGATTTCGACTAGGAATGAAGCCATATTCGATTTAACTAAGATGGGTCGACTTCAAATTTGAATTCAAACAAATGTATACGGTTTACAGCCCTATTTCCTTCCCTTGAATATGTGAACATATAGGGTTGTAGAGATTGGAGAGGCCATTTAATACACAAAAAGAGTCAACATCAATGACCAAACGCTACCTCCAGCAAGATCTAAAGGGATCAAAGCCATTGGTCATTGAGGGAAGACGCCAAGAGCGACTGGAAACACCTTGAAGTCATGATCAAGAAGTGTGTCGATTTCACACTGGATTCCTAGTAAACACTTTGTGTTTCTATTTTCCAATGCTGCATGTGAACGTAAAGACTCTTGACTACCATCCATCTTCGATCCAGCTGATTAATTAATTTTATTTCAAGCAAGAGAGGAGAGGAAGAGATCGTAGTTTGGACTGACATTGTTTGAAGTAGCAACGAGAGAGGACAAAATAATGGATGCAAATTTTTGATGGGTAGGAATGAGAATGATACGATGAGGACATTAGTTAGGGTCAAAAAACGTTGCATAGAAAAGGCAAAAACAATTTATTGGTGCGTAAGGTTGGATGGGTTCTGGTCTTCTGCCTGTATCATTCAAAATGCAAATTTGACAGGGCTGCCATATGGATTGCTTTGAATTCAGATAAAGGGTATAAATGAATCCAATCCCATAATTAAGAATCTGAGAGATCTGTACTCGATTTGATATTGGGCAGATGTAAAACATGGGTTTGAATTCAATTTATTTTACATAGTTGGATATCTGGTTTGAATCCGATTCAATTCAAAGCTCAATAAATCTATATAAAACCACCATTTGAGTCCACAAAAATAAATATAAGATAAAAAATATACTATAAACAGAAAAAATAAGTCCCAAATCTCACATAAAATAAAAGTAAAATTCAATTAATATGATCAATAAAGGATATCACATTGCCAAATCTTACCTCATCATATCATATCGTAGCTAAATGGGTGAATTAGATTCGAATTCGAATTGGATTAAATTTGATCCATTTACAGCCCTAATTTCATGATCATATTAGAGGGGTTTACTATGATCGAATTTGCCATCTAGATCTTTTTTATACCATGTTATTATTTGCATGTGATGAGTCATTCATGAGATGCCAAAGAGTAGTCTTTTATCTAACTTGGATCTGCAGCTAAGCTTCAGCAGAAAAACAGTTACTGAATGAAATTATTGGATTAAGAGCAATTGGGTGTTTTACTGCTGAATCTTCATTAGAAAATCCATACTTCTCTTATGATAATCCTCTTAAATATCTTATTAAGAGTGCATTTAGTTTGATGGAAAATAAGAAATAAAGGGAATTTTGAGGGAAAATTGTTATGGAATTTCACAAAACTTATTAGGAATTT